AGGTTGTTCACTGCTAACCGGTGATATGGTGCTTCTTTTTTACTGTACGAAGTATGTGTCTTTTTCCTTATCCGGTGTCACTCATGTGATCTGATTTTGTTTAATTCGGTTAGCTTCTTTAGTGCGTTGTAATTGCGTTTAATAACATTAAGCTGCCAAAAATCATTTTTTCTCCGTCAGAAATATTTTTAAAGAAGTGAAAATAAGTGTTTCTTTGAATTTTTATTACTCTTCCTTTATCACTAGGGTAGCTTAGTGCGCGGGTGTCAGTTGCTGCATGAAACACTAAGAATATTGAGCGAGGTATGGGTGCTTAACAGGAATGTATACGTCTTCAAGGACTGAAACATTCCTATTTAGCAGTTTAATTTCAATTTGATGCTATTTTCTTAAATAAATTTTAAAACCATTTTATTAGGAACCCTCCCAAAATGTAATCATATCACAGTCAGTTCTTATCAGAAATAACTCTCAGTAAATACTTGAAGCATTTTAAATATGCGATAAAACTGGGAATATTCCCAATACACAAATGATATCTGAAGAGCAGGGCACCGAACGAATTTGCTCTTACCAAAAGCTCTGTTAGCATCTTGCTTATCGTTATAATTAATTCTTTGTTTCATTTTCGCCACTGTTTTTGAAGTCCATGTTCATTCGCTGTGAAGCAGGAGAGACTGTTTGCTGCTGTTGTGTTTCGTCTGCTGATGCGATTGAGCCAAATTAAATACGTCCCTTCGATTTGTGTTATGTTTTGTTGTTGATGAGGAGCTTTATTTCTCCGACTAAGTTCATTCATTCATTCGCCCGCACCTGACTTAATTCTGAGAAGGCTTGATAGTTTTCTTTTCTCCATTTTGATGTTCGTGGCCTGTTTCTGGCAACGGAACGGCCTGTTTGAGGATGTATTAGCAGTAGCCTTCACTGGAACTTCACTGTTTAGACTTTAAGATTTCGGATTCGCACAGTTCAGTTTAGAGCTAAGACAATGAAGGGAAAGTGCAGAGGCAGGAGTGTTTCACAGGTTCACAAATCCGACATGTATTTTAAGAACATTTTCTACTCTACAACTCATTAATTCTTTTTGCACCGCCAACATTTCTAAAAAAAATAGTTTTTTTAATAAATAACTTCTTTAAAAAGTTTTTTTTTTTTAAATCTTTTTCTTCCTTTAGCTTTCGTTTTTTACTCCGTTCTTCTAATCCCGCAGCCATATCGTTTTCTCTTCTGTTTCTTCTTGTCTTTCTCTTTCCTTTTCCATTAAGCACTGCGGCCGTTATACTGACGAGTTCCTGTCGCCGTGTTGAGTTAAGACGTATATGACTTAATCGACCGAAACGTCTTATCTCACTCTTACTTCCTTTTCTCATACTGTTCTTTCATAATCTATTGCGCCTTCATCATCCGGGTTCCAGGGTCAAACTGGTTGCTACAGTCGGCTTAGATCTAGTGTTCTTAACGAGAGAAGCACAACGGGCTATATTCACATCTCCTTGTGATTCGTTTACTGCCTCGAAAGGCCACTGGCAAAAGTGTATTTGAAGTATAAGTTCTATAAGGATTGGATGTGGAAATGCCACAAAAAAACAAGTCTCTATGAAGTTTACGTCACTGTCGAAACAACAATGTCCAAAAGTCATTCCGCAAAACAATTTTGAATGAGGTTTTGCAGCTCGGGCTCCCGGATCTTTGGTGCAGTGATGTTCAGTAGTCAGACCAACTGGGTTTAGCTCATTGAATACCATTGCACCATACAGAGAGACTGGGATGCTGCAAGACGCCATGTGTAAGTGACCGTTTTTCTAAAGTGAAAGATCAATATATGGACGTACTTTGCTCGGAACCAGTTCCTGTACTCTCAAGCAAACATAGAGCGTAATAAAATGTAGCTTGATAGGAAATAGTGTGGAAAATACATGCTCAACATTGGTCTCTCAGACACCTCCTCGTGATAAGTACGCTATAAGGCTATTTGTAATAAGTTCCACTTTGTTGGATAAGTTATGCGACGGACCTCTTTCCATCGACTTCTGGAAGCCTGTTACGCTGACTGGCTCTTGCCATTTGAAAAGATCTGGGCACTTAGTTTATTCGGAATCTGGCCAAAAGAAGGACAAGCAACACTTGGAGATATCGGAAACTTTTGAGGCACAGAAGGGGGCGAGGGCGAGGACGATCTAAAGAATTACTGCTCAATCCGCTTACTCTCTCACAAGTTTTTTACGAGGATTATCACTAACCGATTAACAAAACACAACGAACCACTTCTAATTGAGTTGTTGTGTTGGAATCCCGCATAGTGAAAGCGAATGTGGATTTGACGATTAATGTAAATTCAAGCGTATTCATTTTTATGCATTTTTGCTTAAAATGCGAATTGCAAAAACGCGTATTGCGACGACCCTGTGTGTGTATTTGTCTGTCCAGGTATTTCAACTCGACAACCAAGCAAGCTCCGGTGGCAAAATTTTGCCAGTTGGTTCCCCGACCAAGTGCCACTCCAGAACTTCGGCACCAACCTTCGCGCACTTCTGGGCCCCGCGTGCGAGCGCATGGAAATGGCGGGAAAATTGCTAACTCGGGGATGAGAAAAGCTGCAAAGCTAAAATTTTGAGGTTGCGATCCCCGTTCACACTGAACTCAAATTTCAAATTCAGCCCCCAGCTGAGCATGGTTCCCGCGTACAGCTCCGTGAGGGTTCCTGATGGGAAATCGCTAACTTGAGGACCAGGAAGGTTAGAAGGCTGGAATTTTAAGGGAATGTTCTTCGTCCATGCACAACTCAAAGTTATCAAATTCAGCCACCAAGCATGTGGAGTTCTCCGTGAAAATTTTCGGCGGAAGAATGGCTAACTCAGAAACCGGGAGAGCTGGGAGGTCAAAATTTTAAGGGGATATTCCCCGTCCATGCACAACTTAAAGTGACCAAAATGGCATGCATCATCCTCACATAAGACTGCGTGAAATTTTTTATGGAAAAGAATTGCTAACTTGGGAATCAGAAAAGGTGGAAGGCTGAGATTTTAGGAGAATATTCTCCGTCCGTCTCCGTTTCACATGCAACCTCCAGGTGCGCGTGGTTCTCTTGTTCGGGCACTTAAATTTTTGGCGGGAAAATTACTCATTAACCAGCCGGGTTATTTTCAAAAAACAACCGCTAAACGGAGATTATTTTCGTTTTTGCAAAATTTACGATGATTTACGGTATTGGGCACACAGGGTAGGTACGAAGAAACAACCATTCATGCGGTTAACCTAATTCAATTTTGCTGCAAAAACAAATGATCGTGCCGGCCTGCCTGGTGCGTTCCAGCCTGGGTTATTTAATCTGCGATGAAGAGATAAAAAATAATGCTTCAGAGGGGATCTGTTCGATGTTTTAAGTTGTTTGTGTTTGAGCACCTGCCCCTTGTTGTTAGCAGACTGTTTGTTTGGACAACTGCATCCACTCACATTGTTCGAGGTTGTACTTCTGTTTGTGGGACTAGGTGATGTATGCGTCGTTTTATGAGATTAATGAATATCAAAGGTCTCCCTTTCAATCTCTTCTTTTTTTTTTTGATTTGATTGATTCAGCTGTCAAAAAAAGGACCAGACGCAACCGAGCTATTATCTGATAGGGATGTCGTGTTACTGTTGCTGCTGAGCCACTGACTTCAACAGTAGGTAGATTTTTTTAGATAACGTGCCCAACACTAGCATCCTTGGCATCAAAACCCTCATAGAAAAAAGGTGAAATTGAGTTGGGAGGAAAATACCCGAGATTGACACCAAGTTTATGCGGTGACCGAAGATGCAGACATTGGGATGATTGAGGCAGCAAATTATAAAATTGGCGTTTTGGTACCGGAACGAAACTTTAATAACGCTCTGTAACTCTTGACCCGTTTGTTTAAAATCCAATTAGCCCCCAAAGTGCACCACCTAGCGCCTTAGGCAGTTCCAGAAAGAGGGAGGGAGGGGAGAGGGGCGAGAGGTCTTTCGCTCTCTCAGCGGCACAAACACCAATCCCGGGTCTAAAGCTAAACCCAAAGTAAACTAAAGCCTGAAGTAACTCCAAGCAGCAGTGTTACAACGCTATTCCTAGTTTTTGCACAGTTCCAGGGTGGGATGAGGCTTTCCCCCATTTCTCCGCCGCCCCTCTCCCCCTGAAGTCCGTCCTAGATCCGCCTATGCATAGGGTCATCTTAGGATCAGCTTTGGGGGGCATTGCTTTGGTCCCAAAGCCTTAGTGCTCTCTGTGTTTTCGTTTCAATTCGCTATAATGCCCCAAAACATCGATGAGTGACTTCTTCACTGATATGCAACTTACAGGAAACGTTCGATCGAGACGTGCGGTGGTAGTACGCACGGGGCAGTTCATGGATTCGATCGGGCAGTCTACGAAAGAATTTCTAAATAGGGTACGCCGTCGTGTGCTTGGCGCAAATTCGGCTACCGAGTATCCGAGCTCGTCATTTGGCTCCACTGTAAATCTCACGAATGACTGTGCCGCCGCTCCAGCCAACAGAAGCAGTTCAGTGGGCTACACTGAACTTATGGGTGGCTCGGTACCATGCCCGAGCTGCAAAGGCTCCGGACGGATCCCAAAAGGTTGGGCATCATTATCAGTTAAAGAAGCAACATTTCATTCTTGGAAATTCCTAGATAAATCAAAAACGTATTTGGCAAAAGTGATGTGTATATATATGTGTGTGTGTGTGTTTTGTGTGTGTGTGTGTGTATGGGGAGCATCCTTGCTCTTTTTGATAAATCCAATCACATGACTACGACGAAAACTCAGTGGAATTCTGGGACATGAGCGTCATGGATTTCCGATGAACTTTCAAGCTTAATTGTTCTTCTGATTTATGACCACTAGAAATTGAGGCACTTTTTATTATGCGTTTTTGCCGTGCAGCGCTGGAGCGCTGGAGCGCTACAACAGGGAGCAAAAACACACATGGCGACGACCTTGTCTATGTGTACTGTATATGTGTGTGTGTATTCGTCTTTGCAAGTATTTTTGCTCGCCAACCACGCAAGCTTTGATGCTGAAATTTTGCCGGGCTGTTCCCCGGTCAAGTGCGACTGCGGGGACGAGATATGAACTGACATGTACGTCTACTTCTCACGTACAAGCACGCGAAAGTTTTGACGGAAAAATTGCTAACTCGAGGATGAGAAAAACTAGAGAGCTGAACTTTAGAGTAGTGTTCAGTACTCATGTACGGTTGAAAGGTTTCAAATTTAGTACTTCAGAACCGCCCAAGAGTCACGTGCGGCCACTTTAAAGTTTTGGCAGGAAAATTGTTGACTCGGAAATTAGAAAAGCTGGAATGCTAGAATTTTAAGGAAATGTTTCCTGTTCATGTACGGCTAAAAATTTCAAATTCAGGCTTTTTTGCACACCGGTAACTTTCCATTTATCGAGTCACTGAAGCCGACATCTACAACTGGTATGCTATATAGCTTAACTTCCTGAACTTCGAAGGCCAGTATTTCAGAAGTTCTAGCTGCTGTGATTTTTTGCAATCTTGTTGCAGCACGAAATAGTGCAAAAACGCATGATCGCACCGGTCCGCCTGGTGCACTCCAGTCTGAGTTTTGCTCAGAATTGGCAGGAGCTACATTGGTCAAAAGTTAGATTCTGTATTTCGTGTTCGAGTTTTGAGCTGTTTGAATGATTTTTCAGAATTGGAGGAAACATTGGTGGCTCTAATTCCTGTTAATGACGATCGCCTAAAACCGAAAAAAACGTAAGTCTGTAACCAGTATCTTTTGTAACTTCTTTTAATAAATCAGATCAGCTATGTTCTGTTGAACGGATTCTTGAGAATAATTAACGCATCGGTTTTTGATGGATTGAATTGCGGGAATTTTCGTAGAAAACAGTTTGCTGAAGTCTGTTTAGTTTACTTTTTTAATGGATTCACTACAAATTTTTCAGATGGCTGTATGTTCTTTCCGTTATTCTTGGCTGCTTATCACTTGCGGGTGTTGTGATCTTCTTGCTGGTACCGCGCGCAATCTATCTGAGCAGTGTTAGGCCGCCAGTAGAAATTATAACGGTTTACGATCACGACGAAAAGCATATCAGTTTTTACTTTATGGCAAGTTCTTTTTCCAACATATTTCAGTATATGTGGGGAGGGGCTGCTTGGCAGCGAAATATTGCAAGATGCTTTAAGATTAAAGATCTCGAGAGCAGAACTCAGTGGCTTCTTAATTCTTATTCTCTGTTTCGTTATGTAAGGGGGAGAGGGGGAGGGGGAGGTAGAGGGAGGGGTGGTGGTGACACTCAAAACAGTCAGTGTCTGCTTGCCCCGGGTTTTTCATAAAGCAACATGTTGGCGACTGTGACTGCTTGGCGTGTGCCGCTTCCAGTTTGCCAACTTTCGAGAAGAGAATGAAACTTTGGCGGCTCAGTTATAGCTATTAGCATTTCCTATGATGCTTATCACAAAATCTCGTACCGAATCATTTAACTGAGGCGATAATTAGCAGCGTTAGTGCAACGAGATAAAGGAGAGTGGAAAAGCATTTGTTTTTTAATTTTTGTTTTTTTTTTTG